AGGAATTTTTTCAGGTGAGATATAACTAAATCTAATATTTTCGTAATATGATGCTCTTGGATTACTTGCAATTATTCCATACATATATCTAATGAAAGCCCATTTTGGTTCATCAGGATGGTATCCACAAACTATCAAATCATTACACCGTATATATCTAGATCCACCCTTTTTCTTTTTATATATATATTCAGCTTTGTTACCAAGAACAAGATTTCCGAGTATATTAGTCTTACCTGTGCCACTTTTTCCCGTAACTAGCTTAGCGAATGGCCATGACATTGCTGGATGCCCAATACAGCGTGATGAAGCATGCTTTGTAGCCTCATCCATATCCATAAGAAAAAGTTTCATTGGAGGTAATCTTGTTTTTGAGTTTTTCTGCATGACGGATTGGGAATCTATAACTCTGTTTTCTATATACTGGATAAAAATTTTCTTCCTCCCGATAATTCACTTCACTTTGTTCGTTCATGGTCGGTTTAGGCACATTAGTGCCCTCACTCTGTGAGTATATTCCAGAAAACAAATTACCAGAGGTGGTCATACTGTAGGTATAATCTGGCTCCAAGTTCAAAGAACAAGAAGGCGAGGTTGAGCGAAAAATTTGCCTGTATATATACCATATAATTAATAATATTATCAAGGCAAAAATAACAAACTTAGCACCTAATGCTATAATAGGTAATTCCTCACTCCTTCCTATTGTAATATTATGAGATCTAATCGGAGTCACATTCTTTATTTCTTGAAATTGGTTTTCTGCGTTGATTGGTTGTAATATATTATTTTTATTATTTTCGTTAATAATAGTTTCATCACTTACCTTAGAAGTAACCTCAGTATCGATTTTTGAAGATTCTAATATTGGAACAATTTTATCATTGGTATGAGTTGGTATATCAGTGCTAATTTTTTTGACTTCATTCATAATTTTTCTATGTGCAAAATATTGACTGAGATTTTGCTAGTTTCACTAACTGCAGAGATATTATTTTTGCAAAGCAATGACCCTTCGGGTCTAGACTTTGATATATTTTTTTCATTATCTCTACCAACTACAGATATTGAAATATCCTCTGATTTTAGATGCTCAAGCTCACTGACCTTAGAATCTAATTCAATCTTTATATTCACCAATTCAGCTTTGAGAGACATTATCTCAGAATCTTTTTTTGATGAGTATTTCTGAATTAAAGATAATTCTTTTTCCAATGACTTGATTCTAGATTGGAATGAATTTGCTTCTTCCAACTTACTATAATACTTGACTTTATACTCAGTAAGGTTGGTATTTTTGCTTTTCAACTCTTTAATTTCTTCTTTGAGTTGTTTTTTAATCAAGTCATTTTGATTTTTGTTATTAATGTACTGATTTATTTTTTTCTGGAGATGTAAAATCTTGTCATTTTTTTTCTCTAGCTCTTTAGTAATCACATCAGATCGCACTTCTGCAAGAGCTTTAGTATTTCTAAATTCGGAACATTTATTAGCGAAAAATTCGGTTTCAAAAAGCAACTCATTGCATTGAGATTCAAGTTCACGTTCTCTACTATCTAATTTATATCCACGTCCTTGAAAATTTTTGGCATTAGTAGATTTACTATACAAAGTACATATTGGTGCCATATAATCAAAGAGAATTATGTTCAAAGAAAAAAAACTAATCGCAATTTGACTTTTTACTGATTATGAATAAAAAGGAACCCAAATAATAATTGGTATTTAACTAGGCAATAATTAGGCGAAAGTTAGTAATTAGCTAGACAAAAATTGATACTTAGCTGGCATAAAATAATAATTAACCAGTTTTATATGAAAATAAATCTATAATCAAATCAGTACTAATTATTTCTCGGTTTTTGTCTGATTTGTGTCTGATTATTATCCGATTATTACTCAGTTTTTATCCAATTA